GCTTTTCTGGTACTCTGTTGTTCTTAGGTGCTGTTGAGTTGACTCTGGTTCGTGATGACCCCATGTGTTGCAGAGCAGGGTTTTCAAGGGCAGGTTTTTTGGAAGCAGATCACCAGCTCTTTCTTCCGAGGTGCCTTTGGGTGGGATTGAACTACCAACCTAGTAACTGAGTGCTTATGGCTTACGCCACCCTAACCTTGTCCAAACTCTTCTTTCTACGCTACGCAGATGTGAACGAATGTGCAGACACAACCACCTGCCCACCTTATTCCACCTGCACCAACACCTGGGGCAGTTACTACTGCACTTGCAAACGGGGCTTCCTGCCCAGCAGAGGGCAGATGAACTTCAGGGACCCAGGGGTGGAATGCAAAGGTGAGTTCATACCCCTTCAAAACCTCCAGCAGTCAGTAAGGACATTGTCTCAGTTTCCTAGTGCCACTCTCATAGGAATATACCACAGATGGATGCTTTGAACAAATAGGAGTTTATTTTCTTACTGTTTGGGGGCTTTGAGTCTGAGTTCAAAGTGCCAGGCTCTAGGGGCTGGGTGAAGCCCCTCAACCTTGGGCTTCAGCTCTGCCTCCTGCTCCCGGCCCACTGGAGCTGGAGGCTTTTCTTAACTCATGCAGCTGCTGGCTGCTAAGGCTGACAAACCCAAGGTTGACAAGTCAAAAGGCATGGTCCCGATGTTACCAAACCACAGAGCAGGCCATTAGTTCAAGTCCAGGAGAAGTCTCAGGATCGGCAGGGCATGGCAGGCTGCTGAACAATGACTCAGCTACATGCAAGGTTCAAGTGTGGCAAAAGGCTAGAGACCTTCCCCAAGGCTTCTGCCTATATCCTGGAAGCAGCCCACATCCCTAAGGCAGCTACTCAGCTGCTCCCATAGATTCCACCATGGAGCTGATTGCCAGTCTCACCATGAGGAATAACTACATCCAGCTGCCCAGCCACTTAACCAGGCCCAGCCAAGTTGACAACAAACTTAGCTGCCACAGACATCAAGTGGAAGCTGGCTGGTAGTGGATGTTGATATATATATTTTTCCTCTAAAACATGATTTTATTCTTTTCTTTCCTTTTTTAAGTCATATTTATTTATCATAGTGAAATAAATGCAACAAAACCAAAACAAGCCAAACTCACTGCCATCGAGTCTATTTCAACCTATGGTGACCCTGCCTTGGGTTTCCGAGGCTGTATCGCTATGGAAGTACATTGCCCAACCTTCCTTCCGAGGAGTGGCTGGTGGATTTGAACTGTACCCTAATTTGAATTTTCTCCATGTACAGTTCCGGGATGTTGATGACAATCTTCAACTTGTGCAACCATTCTCACTATCCTTTTTCAAATCATTCCACCACCATTAACACAAACTCAGTACCTCTAAATAAAAAGTCTTCACATCCCACCATTTTCCTCCTCCCACCCCACCATTAGTTGTAGCCCCTAGTGGTCTTTGGTTTCTATATGCTTGCTTATTTCATAGAAACAGGATCATACAGTATTTGTCATGTTGTTTCTGCTTCTGTTGCTCAGCATGACATTTTCAGGGGTCACCCATGATGTGGCCTGTCAGGACTTCATTCCTCTTTATGGCTGAGTAATATTCCACTGTGTGTATAGACACATTGTATTTATGCTTTTTATATGACCATGCAAATGATTCTTGGTTACTGAAATTTTCAATGATTAGAGAATAGCGTTCTGATGAAAATGAAATTAGATATGAAACTCCAGGTTACTATCCAGAAATAGCCACTGATTTCATTTTGTTGACCCTCCTTTCAGTCATTTTCCAATATTGGTTATAAGGACATCACTTATGGGGAGTCCCTGGGTGATGCAATGAGCTCAGCTGCTAACTGAAAGGCTGGGGGTACAAGGGCACCTAGAGGTGTCAC